ACCAAACAAAACCCAGCCCCCCCAAATTCCAAACTCATGTGCCTGTGTTTAATTTTGGAGCAGAATAAATGGTTTAATTTTTTTTTTTTTAAATGTGATGTTCTGCCTATAAAGACTTTGTTCATCCTTTCTTTGGTATCAAGGATGGAAAAAGCAGAAAGAACAGCTTGGTTGTAAGGTCTGGGGCAAACTGCACGGCATTAAAAAATACTTTGTTCTAATTGGAGCCTGTTTGACCCTGGAGCCAGAGCAGGGTAATGGAAAAAGCTCAGCTCAAATCGAGTTGCTTTTCACAGCGTTCTGCATAAAGCCAGAGAAGGAAAGGGAGAAACACAGAGAATTTGAAAGGGGAAGAGCCGGAAAAATGCATTAAGAGCAAGAAGAAAAGGCAGAATATGTCGTGGGAGATAGCCAAAGGATGGGAGATGCAGAGAAGACAAAGGAGAGCAAAAATCAGGGAGAAAGGAAGAGAAGGAAAAAGAAGGAAGCAAGGTGAAATTGTAAAGGAAAGGAGGAGTGTCCTTCTGCCCTGCCAGGCAGAGCAATGAGGTGGCAGGACAGCRAGTGGCCCCAGGCAGCAGCGCTCGTTATTTCCATCCTGGCTGATGTCATTGATTGCCTCCCTCCTCCCCTGTCATGCCTGGTGACGGAATCGCAGCTCTTGCGACTCAGAACGACCTGCTCTGTTCCCCACTGGCCCAGGGAAAAGTTTYCTTTCCAGCTCCAAACAGGCACAGCTTTGTCTGTGTTTTGGGGGGGATTTTGGATGGCCCCTGTCAGCAGTTCCTCTCTGGGACCACCTCCAGTCCAGGCAGGTGGAGATCCTATCCTGGCCTGGTTTTTGCAAAAAAAAAAAAAAAAAAACAACCCAGTTTGCTCTTTAGCTCTTGTGCTGGGAAGATCCCCTAGGACTGTTCTCTCTCTTACCTTGATGTTTTTCTGTTGGCGGCATCTTTATTTTTTAAGCCAACCTTGATTTTCCCATTTTTTTCTTCTTTAAGGAAATTTCTCTCGCATAGCTCAGATCCCGCAGCATCCAGACACCTTCTGTCAGGGGGTTTAATTAGTCAGAAAAAAAGAAAACAAATTATGATTTGTTTGCCGAAGGGAAGATGTAGGGGATAGAGAAAGGAAGGTGGAGAGTGCAAAGAAACCTTAATAATGAAGAAAAAAAGCAGAATTTTAAGATACATGAAGCTAAGTCTTTAGGATTTATTTAGGATAACAGTAAATGGCCTCAAGTTATGCCGGGGGAGGTTTAGGTTGGATGTTAGAAAAAAATTTCTTCATGGAAAAGGTTTTAAAGAATTGAAACAGGGAAATAGCGGAATCACCATCCCTGGAAATGTTCAAAAACCGTGTGGATGTAGCACTTGGGGACACGGTTAAGTGGTGAACGTGGTGTTGGTGTTGGGTGATCTTAAAGGGCTTTTCCAACCTGAATTATTTTATTATTCCCAAAGGAATGAGCTCCTCTTCTTTCTGCAGCTCGTGATTTTTGTGGCWGTCCATGTTCTGATGCCAACAAAAACCCCATCAGGGCTGGACCAATCCTTCCTTCTCTGTAGGGTGGAGGGATGAGCTYCATGGCACCTCTCCAGCAAAAACCCTTCTGCTGGACATGGGGTTTGAGAAAATTTGTAAGATGAAGAGAGAGGTGCAGATCAGGGAAATTTCTGTGGGATGGGCTGCAGATGGACATGAGTTATTACCCTTAAATCTGCTTTATGCTTGGTCAGTTGTCATTTGTGTAATGCCTTGTCTGGGAGCAAACATCTGACCRTGGTCCATGCGCAAGATCCTTAGCYCTGGAGGATCTAGGAGAGGGTTATGGAGATGGGGAAAGCAGTGAGAGAACCTGAGGTGTTTGGGGGTGGAGGATATCAGAGAGGATGTGGAAAGGAAGCAGCTGGGTTGCTGTGTTGGGATTTAGGGATGCAGCCCGCTCATCTCTTAAAAACCAAACTCTGTTCCCTCAGTCAGTCTCGGATGGTTTAGTAACGAGTTACATGTTGGGCTTTCTTTGCTTTGATGGAGCTCCTCCCCCACTTTTATCCAGTTACCCATGAAAAGTCAGTGAAATGAGACCTACTTAAATCAAATGTCACAATCGATGCTCATCCCAGGCCACCGTTTGTGCGATGCGAACTCAAATTGCCGTAAGGGGCGAGAAGGGAGAGGGGAAGACTTTGAAGAAAGCTTGGAGAGAGCAARCAAGGAGCCATCCATGGCTCAGCAGCTTGTGTTTTTATCACAACCATGCACCTCTGGAGTGGGAAGGAGCTGCTGTCCACTTGGATTCTACAGGGGGGAAAAACAAAGCCATGGCTTCCTACAGAACATTGCATCCATCTCCCATACCCTATAAATCAGAGTCTCTTCCACATTTCAATTTATGAGGAGCAAATATGCGATATCAGCACTCAGCCTGCCTGGATCATGTCCAAATTCGATTTTGTTTGATGGAAGACGAAATCAAAGTGTTGATATTTTCACTAAAATTTCTGTATCTTTGCCTCGTTCTCCCCAAAAAATGCATGAGTATTTGAGTATTTGGCAGGAGTGAAATCTCAGGGTGAGAGCACAGTCATAGGAGTTGATGTTAAAAATCACAGTGATACAAATCTCCATAGAAATATAGGGGAAGTATCTACATGGGAGATGAAACATTTTTTTTTTTTTCATGAGTATTTTGGCAATCTCTGATTGGAGGAAGGTGCAGGGTGGGTGGGTGAAGCTCAGGTTTCCTGTCTGTAGCTGATCTGCACCCGTGAAGATCCTTCAGACCACCTTTACGCCTTTGGGTGCCAGCTGGGCATTCAAGCTGTTGAATGTGTGGGACATCCCAYCCTTAAGGGGAAGGAAACACCCAAAATTTTTTGGTCAAAAGGATTGGTGGAAGTCAGAGGGGTCACAAAATCTTGTCAAGTTTTATAAGTGAATTACAGATGGAAATTGGAATGTTATTCCCTGGCCTGGTGTACATACACAGCAGTGGGTTTTGGATAAAGGGTTAGGGTGGAAAGAAAGGGAGATGGATTAAAGAGTGGGAGAGAGAAACTAAAAATAAACCAGGAAAGGGACAAAAAGAAATCCCCAGTCCTGGTTCCAGTGTTGATCCAGCTGAAGGAATGTCCAGAATCCCAGAGTGCCCCTGTGCCCCGGGAATACACCTTTTTTATGGATAAGTTTTGTCTGCTCTGGGGATAAATTCCTCACTTTATATGCAAATCAGTTRCCATGYACAGCCTGTCCTTCTAGACCTGTCTGGAAATGGGCTGGAGCCTTCGGGGGTCTTGGATGGTCTCGATCCCCCTTTCAGTCCATGTCCCATTCCTGACCTCATTCCTGAGCTTGTGCTGTGCTGTGCTGATCCCCAGGAGCCAGAACAAGGATTTTCCTCTCAGAAAAGTGCTGTTCTGCCTCTGCATGGTCCCTTCTGCATCCACATCCTGACTGAATTTTATCTCAGATCCCCCAAGTTCTTGTTTCATCCTTCCCCACAGCTGCTGTGGGKTTCCTTGCAGTGGTGTGGTCTAAGGTTTGTTCCTCATTAATTCCCCCCGCAGTTGTGAGAGGTGCCTTTGTTCAAAATAAGCAAGTAAGGAGGATCTTYCCAAGCCCTTCAAAATTCAGGGATAATTCAGCTCAGACCTCTGCATTTCGGGATTGTTCAGCACTTTTTGTGGTGGGCTCTGTGGGGTGAACCTGCAGTGGGGGTGGGCCTTGAGTGAGTGGGCACAGATTTGCTCTGCCCATGTGTTCCATCTAAGCCCAGCACTGAACCCTGCCTGATGTATTTCACTGTGCRGGAGGCTCAGTAGCCTGGAACGGAGCTGCTGTAGCCTCAGCTCTGTGGCATCCCTCTGACTGGAGCTTCAGGCTGAGCAGCCTCATGCCTGCCAACAAAAACATGTAGTCAASTCCTTAGAGGACTGCCTGTTTCATTCCAATATTCATGCATAATTTACTTTTTAAAATTTTTTTTTCTCTCCTGTGCTAAGCCCTTGCTGTGTCAGAAGCCATCTCATCTCYATGAGTGAAGTGCGAGGTGTTGGTGCTGTGCCAACCCACTGRCAACCTTGACTGGGCTCCCTCTCCCCTGCAAATGCTGAAATCACCCTAAAAAGAGAGTTCTCGGGTGTCTGTTCTCGGTGGGGCTCTGCCTCTCTGCCTTCCTGCCAGCAGAGATCACTGATGTGGAAATGAGAAACGTGCCRGGGGAGAAAAAAAGCCTGCAGCAGAGAAAGCCAAATGGGATAGAGCTCTTCACTCCGAGCTGAGGACAGGGCGAGTTCAGTGATATCAGCATGGCAGATGTTGGGTAGTTACAATCAGAGAGCTCCATTAGAGAGGTTACAGCCTGTGTTTGCTCTTGCTGTTGCAAGAGTTTTGAGTCAAGGAAAAAGAAGCACTCTAAACCAGGTTTCCAGCCTGTGTGATCCCCTTTGATGAAAAAATGCCTCGTGTGGTAGTGTAAGAGGAGTGAATTGATGGATGGTGGGTCCCTGGGGAGGAGACACATCTTGTTTTTCCTTCCTTTGCTTCATTTCATCCGTTTCCAGATGAATGTTTGTGGTTGGTGGAAAATTTTCACCTCCTTTTCATCCTCCACCCTTTATCACCTCTGTCCCATAAGAGCTAGTTTATAATTGTTGTGTTATTGCTTCATTAATTGTTTTCCATTTTGACACTGGATTTGAAGAGCCTGATCCTCCTCCTCCTTGTAACTCACACCTTTTGCATGCCTGCCTTCTRTGGATATCGGAATTGTTACCCAGACTTGACACTGGTGTGTGGGAGCAGAATCAGATCCAAAAAAAAAATGCTGGATCAACCAGAAACAGGTCCTGGTCTCCTTTGCTCTTTATTTGTCTGCACAGTGTGATTTGAAGGTCAGCTGAGTGGATATACCAACAACTGGAAGGTTTTTGCCATGAAATTTTGTTGGTAGAACTGGCTGAGTTTATTTTATTAATGTCTGCCTTTCTCTCTTTCAGAACATGGAAAAGGTGCTGGTCCCTTCTGTCACGTTAATTGTAGGCTGTGGAGTATCCTCGCTGACGCTTTTGCTGTTGATTATCATTTATGTCTCTGTTTGGAGGTATGGCTTTCATTCTCTTCTCTTCTTCTTGGGGAAAGTAACTRTCTTTGGACCTACACGGGTCCTGGAATGTTTGCTCTGTGGTTTTGGGTGTCTGATTCTCGAGGAGGAACTGTTTGCTAATGAGTGGGCCCTGCAGAAAGTCATCCTGGTGGCTTGGCTGGCATTATTCTTCCCTTTCAGTGCCAGAGAAATTAGCAGAGTGAAATTAGTGCCATGCCCCCCTTGTAGGGACATTGTTCCATTTCCAAAAGCCTCGTGCTGGTTTCGATGCCTTTGCGTACCCCAGGAAACCTTGTCAGAGGCGAGGTGGACACGCACGGCCTCTTGGCAGGCAAGGTAATTCTCTGGGAACATCCRAATCTGTGACCTGCCATGGAAACATCTGGCCTGGAGAGCTGGCAGAACTTTTCAGGAGCTCAAGGGTGTTAAACCTTAAATCATCTAAATAAGTCCCAAACCTTTTAGTTTCATTTTGCCTTCAGCTTTGGGTGCATGTGGGATCCCCCCAGTACACCTCATTGCCGACAGCTCCTGTACACAGGTCAGGTGGAACTTAAAATTGTGTCATTTACAGAATCTGAAAGGATTTTGAAGCAAAGCTTTAATGAACAATTGGCCCATGCCCCTGCTGGATACCTTTTGGTGGCTCTAAGCTGGAAGACCCGAGGTGTGCAAGGGATTTTCTCCCTGCATTGCCTTGAGCMAGGTCTGAATTTATCCTGTGAGATCCCTGCCTTTCCTAAATCCATGGCAAACGCACTGAGACCTTCATGGCTCGACCCCAAGCAAAGAAAAATCAGAACCAAGTGAATATCTGTGAAATCCAAGTGGATTGGCTGCAGGGAATGCAGTTGGATATTAGTGGTGATCCTTTTGGGAGAAGGGATCGGTCTGAGGCTCTTATTTTGTGCACTGATTCTTCTGCTAGGAAGGAAAGGGTAAATTACATTAGAGATTAAACTGAGATAACTTTTTCTACGCTTTGATAGAGGAAAGAAACAAGAGAGTAAAAAACTGGGCAAAAATGCATCTTTTTTTTTGTTGATACTGTGACAGTGCATAGTGGCTGGTTCATTTTTGGCAGCTGAAGACTGATCATGATAACGTTTATCTAGAACTCAGGTTTTTCCGTGCCTGGGGTATCATTGGATGTGCTCAAGTCCTTGTCCTCTCCTGCTTTTCCTCAGGCTGGGCGGCACTGAGCAGCGCCGGTAGGTGACTTGCTGGGGTCACTGGTGTCAGGATCAAGTGGAAAGTTAGAAGATTAAAGAGCAAGTGTTCGAGCCTCACCCTCTCTTTCCTGTCAGAAACAGGTCCAGGATCTGAAACCCAAGCTCAGACATGAGGTTGAATCCGTTTGGAGCAGGCCGGAGCCATTTGGAATAACACGATGTATTTTTTTCCAGGACTGTGCTCCCCCCTCCCAACTTCAATATTTACTGTTACTGAGGACAGTAAATTGCCTGACCTGTTTAAAATACGTTCTGTTTGCCTTATGCCTTTGCCCAAAAAGATCAGCAGGAATGGGGGGACATGTTTATGGGAGGCTTGAATGGTTATTCCTGAGCTAGCCAAGGGTGGACATGCATTTCCAAGTGATCCTGAGACCAGCTATATCTTGATTAAAGGGCTCTCTATCCTAAGTCTCTCTGTGTAAATATTTGTAAAGCATGATYAAGTGATCTCTAAGAATTTCTCTTTGGTGCGCTGAGTTTGTTTCATTTCTTCTCTGTAGATCATGTTTTCATGTTTTCCAAACTTCACAGCATTCCCGTGGCTGAGCCCTGAGCKCTCTGTGTGTCCTTTTTATTTTAGGCATAGCTGCTGGACGTGAATGTGCTTTCCTATTAATGGTCTCAGGAACATCGTATTCAACATTATCTCCTGGCTCCCACTTTGTTTTGCCCTGAATGTTGTGTATTCYGATAGACAGCAGCTGGAGGAGTGCTTAGAAATGGAATCAGCAGCATTATTCCACCCTATTGTCTCTAAAACCCAGGAGCAGCACCAAAGTGGTTCTTTGCCACCGTGCAGGAGAGCAGCTCCTCATGTCCTGGCTGCCTGATCTTCTGTGGAGAGCACTCACCAGAGCTCAGCTGTTTTCGGGGAGCTTTGGCCGGGAAATTTCCCATTCAGGACTCCGGACAAAGGCATCTGGAGCATGCATCCATAGACCCAGCTTGAGTATGAAACACTTCTGATGAATAAGCTCACTGAGGCTGACAACCTGGAAGCTTTCCCAGAATTTTGCCCGGCTAGGGTTTGTTTGTATATATGGGAAGCAGAAAGGAAGGGCGGGCGAGAAAGAGGGAGAGGAACAGGGCGAAGAAAAGAGAGGGCAGAGCAACAGGGAGGCCATCCCAGCTTCGGGCTGCACACCAGGGAGGAAATGAATTTACCCTCCCTTCCCCATTCAGAACCCCCAAATAAAGGCTGCTCCTTGGTGGCACCTACTCAGCCCCTGGCACGAATGGCACGAGCTTTTCAAGGCAAGCGATCACTTCAGGCGCGGCCAACTTGGCACGGCCCCGTTGGAAACTGGGAGTTGTTTCTGTTCGACGGCTGTTGGTGGCCTGTTGGTGGCCTCACTCCAGCTCCCAGTAGACAGATGGCTGCAAAAATCTCWGCTGCAGATGGTGCATCCCTGGCCTTATTAGCAGGCTCGACAGAGGGGTCAGTGACACASTGGGCCACAGCAGTGGAGTGACCTTGTTCCATCTCGGCACTGACTGTCCTGAGGCACAATCTGTGCGTGGGCCATGTGCTCCACCACCCGTGGGGAAAAAAAGAGAGGGAATTGCAAGAAAAAAATACGGGAAAGTGACACGGAAATTAAAAACTGGAGGGGAAAAAAAACCAACCACTCAGAGGTCGGAAGAGGTGAAATGACACCTCCTTTCAAGCAGCTCCTTGACACGCTGGTATTTCAGCAGTGCCCCGATGTGTTTTCCATCCCTGAACTCATTGCTGCTCAGCAGCCTCTGGAGTCAGTGACCTTTCCATAGCACGGGGATCGATTCCTGCTATTGAGCAGCTCATCCACCAGCCCATCAGCATGTGGGGCACGGCACAGCTTTTGTCCCTGGCAGCAGCTGGGCGAGTGCTGCATCACCGAAAGAGAACAGCCCCAGCTTTTCTCACTGCTGAGGGTTGATTGAGTGGCTGTCACTGAGCTCTCGAGGGGCTGTTAACACTTTCTTCAAACCCAGGAGCTCTGAGGCGCTCGGTGGCCCTGGTGGGAGGTGGCAGGGATGAGTAAGTGGCTGTGTGGAGAGGGATGTGTGCACACTGGGTGAGAAGGCAGCAGTGACTCAGTGTTTGTGGAGAGGAAAGGAGTCTGATGGGGGCAGAGAAACAGACTGTGGGGTTTTCCCACCTTTTCCATCTGTCTCGGCTGGAGCAGGGCTTCCCCTCGCTGGTGAYCGGTGACAGGACCTCAGGGAATGGCTGGAGCTGTGTCAGGGGAGRGTTAGGTTRRACATCAGGAAAAAWTTCTTCACTTAGAGAGTGGTTTAGCATGGGAACGAAGTCCCCAGATACTCCAGAGCTCAGGGAGTRTTTGGAAAATGCTCTCAGGCACACRGTGGGATTTTGGGGTGTCCTGTACAGAACTGGGAATAGGACTCAGTGATCCTTTTGGGTTCTTCCAACTCAGGATATTCTGTGATTGTGGGAYACAGGCTAGAGCAGAGCTTCTGTAAATCAGCAGTGAGTTTTCCTCTGTTCTGGTAACTGAGTGCAGCATGTTTTAACAAGTTGACAGAGTCCATGTGTCAGCAGAGGGGTAGCAAGGCAGCCCTCTGGAATAGCTCTGTCTTCGCTGGAGATGTGTTTTTGGGCAAAACCTGTCAAATCCAATGTTTTTTCCCCTCTGATATGAGATCCTTACTTCTTTGGCCAGAGGGTCTGGAAAGGAATGGTGATTTCTTTCTGTGGAGCATCCTGTGCTGGAGAAGAGGAACTGGAAGGGAAAAARGAAGCATGGCAGGAGGTCTTCTTAGCATTCTGACTGAGCAGAAACCGGACAAGGAGATGTTTGGAATCCAGGTCAGGGTACCAGAGAGGGCTCTGGAAGAATTGCCCAGAGATGCAGGATTGAATTAGAATGGTCAGAGCTCAGCTGTGTTTGAAACTGGTCAGGGATGCRAAAAAGCATCAAGAATGGGTTCTGTAGGTACCTCAGCACCAAAGGAATTCTGGGAATTTCTSGGAATTCCCAGAAAAGTGTTGKCCCGGTGTTGAATGGGACAAGCAGCCAAATGGATCAGGAAGTTGGAAGGGTGAAGGTACCCAGTGCCTTTTTTTTCTCGTTCTGCTGGCAAGGTTGGGCCCCAGGCACCCAAATTCCTACAGAGAGGCAGAATCCAGGGAGGAAAACACTCTCCACTGCCAAGGAGAAGAAAAACAAGGACTGTGTAAGTTGCTGGGTGTTTGCAGATCCGTGGGACAGAACARGATGCAGTGAGGGAGATGTTTGGTGTGACTGTGGAGCCACTCTCTGTCACCTGGGGGGGCTCCTGAAGGCTGAAAGAAGGCAAATGTTACCCCCACCTTTAAAAAGGGCACAGAGGAGGATCCAGAGAATGACTGACCGGTCAGCCTGCACGGCCCCTGGGATGGTGAAAGAGCAGGCAGCTCTAAAGGTTATTTCAGGCAAAATGATGGACAAGAAAGTGATTTGGAATAGACAGCGAGGGTTTGTGGAGGAGAGATTGTGCCTGACTGCCCTCTTTCCCTTTTGGGTCTGGATGGCTGGTTTCATGGTCAGTGGGGAGAAGCAGCTGGTGTGGGTTTTGATGTTACCATTAACACATACTCTAAAAGTATCCAGATCATGAAATTATGCACTGGATTGGTGGCTTGGTAACTGGATGGAGTTCCTGCAGGATTTGAGGGTAATGGTCAAAGGTTTGAAGTTTGATCAGGAGCTGGTCACATCTGACTGGGTTGGTAGAGTGTCTGACGTTGTTTAAAGTCTYCTTTAACAACCTGGACAATGTTTGGTGCTCCTGAGAGCACATCTGGAAAAAGTGCCCAGTCCTGGGTTCCCCCAGTACCAGAGATACCAGTGCACCGGAGTACAGCCAGTGGGCTCTGAGGGAGCTGGGGAATGTCAGAGGAGGCAAARGGAACAACTTGGAGAGGAGGAGGCTCTTCAGGAGGAGTCAAGGAGCAGTCAGACAACTTGCAGAGGTAGGCAGGGAAAGGTCTAGAGGCACCAGCTGCAGCAGGAAAGGATCCAGCTGGATATAAAGCAAAAATAATCCTTCACCAYGAGAGCAGTTAAGTTAAGCAGTTTAGTGCTGTAATAAGTCATCCAAGAGAGGTGGTGGCAGTTCTGTTCCCGGTGATTTTCAAAACTCGATCAGACGAGACCCTGAGAAACCTGATCTGACTTTGAAATCAGTCTCTTTTTTTGCAATAGGATAGGACTGGGAACCAGAGAGGTGTTCTTTTTTTTCCCCAACCTAAATTATTCTGATTCTGTTCGTTGCCAACCCACATCTCGTTCTTTGGAGGTTCGGGGATCTGGAGAGCAAGAAGAATTCTCAGGGAGTGAAGGGAAGCAGGGAAAAAGGAGAGCTGGTTTAAGGGGGCTTAGGGGGGAAAAAATGTTAAAACAGCTGAATTTTCTCCCTTTACATTAAAATACAGACTTACGGTCATCTCATTTCTTRCCTTTTCTGACCAGTGGAGACTTTAGAAGTTCTTGCTGATACCACTGGGATCATAATGTTGCTAAACAGATTTATTACATCTCCTTCCCACCAGGACAGAGTCCAAATCTCCCTTTATACCTCTTAGAAGCTGCTGACCAGACATTTGATGTTTTACTTCACACAATCGAAGTGTAAAGAGGTTGATGTCTCAGTATCCTCCAGCCACAAATGGAGCAGGGTCCAGGCAATGCCCAACATTGTATTGAGCCYGGTGAAATCAGGAAATTTGGGCTCAGTTTGGCTGTGAGAGGAGCCAGAAGCTCATTTTGCAGGCTGTCAACCCATTTTCTTGCTGAGCTGGCATCCTACATTTTGCAGCCTGTTCTGGGGCTGGGAGAGTTTCAGGGAGAACTTCCTATAAACCAGATTTCYGACAGATTAAGTAGGAATTCATGAAACCTTTGAATCAGTGGCTTTTTTTTTTTTAGCATCCAGGAAAGCATATCCTCACCATTTATGTTTGTGTGAAGGTACAGCTCAAGGGGAAGTTAAAAATCAAAGTTTCACAAGCCTTCATTAGGTCTGAAGAGCAGATTTACCCTTGACAGAATACACAACGTGCTGTAAACTCGTCCTGCCCTCTTCATCAGGAACTCAAAACTCTGCAGCCAAGGCACGACCAACTCACTCTCGCTAAAATTAATTAATGAAATTAAATTCCCAACATAAATAGTTGATGTGCTGGAATATAGGAAATAATCYTGCATTAGCCTCCAGGGAGGAGCTGGTTGATTAATACATCTGTTTCTAATTTATATAAGCATCAGCATCTCCTCTTCACTCATCTGGCATTCAGGCAGGGCGCTTGCAGCATCTCTGAGATAATTCACGTGTGTGAGCGCTGGTGTGGTCAGATCTCGAGTCAACCCTTGAGGACTTTGCACTTTTGCAGTTCCCTCTTCGTTTTATTGGGCACGTAAAAGTGCCTTCAAAGAAATTTCCCCCCGTTGGCAGTGGTTCGAATTAATTGTGGTGCACTTACCTCAGCAGCGACTCTGGTGCTGTGCTGCAAATCAGAAATGACAAATAGCTGGCTCCTGCGAGGTGCTGAAGGCAACAGCTCCCTAACTGGTGTCCCTGATGTCCCAAACCCACAGCTGCAGTTACGTATTTGGCCTAGTTTGGAGAAGTGTTACCAAAAAAAAAAAAAAAAAAAAAAAAAAAAAAAAAAAAAAAAAAAAAAAGAAAAGGCAAAAAATAAAAGCCAGAAATGCTTCTCGCTGCTTCTCACCTCAGGAGGGGTTGTTAGGCTGAAGGAAGGGGAATGCTGAATCACACACACTTTGTTGTCGAGGCGCATGTGTTTGTAATCGCTTCCATCGCCAGCATGCCTGTGGCTCTCCTTGGTTGGGAATTTTTTACATGTGCTGCCTGTTTGTTTTCTTTCGAGCTCCTTTTCAAGCCCCCCCTTTCAAGCAGGCAGAGCTGAAGAAGGTTTGCAGCACTCTACTGTTTGAGGAGGGGCTCAGGCTAGGCTGGCCCCTCGTTTTTTTGGCTCGTAACGCCAGCGTTGAYGGGGGATGATGGCAACATCTTCTCCCTCTCCCTTCCCCGTTTGTTCTTGTCTGTCCAGCACATAAAATCTGCAGGAAATTGGCAATTCTGTAGAGCCTGGCCTGGATTGCTGCTTTTCAGAGGTCACCCAGRGCAGGTTGTGACAGGGTGGGTCTCCCTCCCCTCTTCTCTCGCTGCAGGTACATCCGCTCGGAGCGCTCCGTCATCCTCATCAACTTCTGCCTCTCCATCATCTCCTCCAACGCTCTCATCCTGATTGGGCAGACCCAGACCCGGAATAAGGTAAGGGATCCGCTGGGGCTCCGTTTGTTTGTTTGCTTTCCCCCTGATTTAGCACTGAAATGATCCATTCAGGCAGCGCTTCCTCATTTTTCCTCCATCTGTTAATTAGCRACATGTCAAAGACACGGCTAAATGGCAGATTTCAATTTTCTCTCTCGCTCTCTCTTTGATAATTTGTCAGCATCCTCAGGGCTTTGATTAAAACCAATGTGATATTTTTGAATATCTGCCTAGAGTATCTGGCACATGGCACGGTAGAGAAGCGTGGTGATTTGCAAGGCTTTAACCATTTTATTTTCAAAAAAATTACAAAGGCAGATTGAGAAAAGGCTTTAAAAAAAAACCCCAAACAACCAACCTCTCAGCTTTACATTTATTTCTCCAGCAGTTTTTATACTCTGAGCTGAAAGTACTTGGCAGATGTTAATGAACACAGACACAAAACTGTCCAACCTTTTTTTGGGGATGGCAAGCGTTGCCAGATGCACTGTGAGCACTGCAGGGCCACGAGGGACTCGGAGCAGATCCCAGAGTGACTCCAGCAGTGCAGGCAAGACCCAGTGTGGTTTTCCAAGCCATGAGCACTGGTTGCACATACATCTCTTTCCCCAGACCCAGCTGGAGAGGCTTGTGTTCCCTCCATGACTATTTTTCTGGCTCAAGCATTTTCAGGTTCCCCGTCAACGTCCAGCGTGACAAATCTCTGCTCCTCAGCAGTGTTTTTCCATCATAATTTGTCCCTTCTTCCCAAATGCTCTGATCATTGTAACCCTGTTGAGGCAAAAAACATGAGGCAAGAAGTGTCCTCTGCTCCTTCTGCTGCCAAAATCACAATCAGAAGTCAAAATTTAGTTATTGCTTAACAGTAACCCATGCCCGAATGGGTTTTTTGAGCCCCTGCTTTGGCAGCACAAACATGGTGTAACTGTTGGAAGCATGTTGGGAATAAATTCCTCCCTGTGAGGGTGGTGAGGCACTATAATATGTTTCTAGTGCCACTAGAAATKGTGGGTGCCCCAGCACTGGAAGTGTTCAAGGCAAGGTTGGAGGGGGCTTTGAGCAAGTAGAAAATCTTCCTGCCTGTGTCAGGGGGGAAAAAATCCGGGAAACTGGATTTTTAAGGTCCCTCCCAAAACTCAAACCATTCTATGGTTTTATGCTTCCTTCAGAGAAGCTGAAGGATTTAGTGAATCACAGACTCATTTCTGTGGAAGGCCCTTTGGGTTAGGATTAAGTTGTTTTAGAGAAAGTTTTCCAGCTGCTGGAGTGTATAGAGAAGCGTGGAAACAGCAGCCAACCTTGCTCCTGCTGAAGAGGTGCCCTTCAGAATCTTCCTTCCCCAAGTAGAGTTGTCTTTCATGGCCAGTGTGGTTGGCAAGAGGTGGAGAAGGGTTGAACTAAGCTCATGCTTTCCTTGGTTGTGTTTTCTGCRACACCGAACGTGTGCTGGGAGCTTTTTTTCATCGAAAGAAATGCTGAGGGTTGCTCAACAGGACAAACCACAGCTGGACCTCCTCTCTGGTGATTCTTCTCCTCAGKACAGGAGCTGGATGTGTTCCTCCTCTCCCACCCCCTCCAGAACCCAGTTATGAACCCAGGTTCTCCCTGGGTGCTTTTTTTGTCCCGTGACTCCAGGAGTTCACTGCTGGAGCTGTTGGTGGGGATTCGAAGCTCCCGGCAGCGATTGCAGGAGGCAGATTAGCTCTTTGCACATCCATATGCATGAAACCCCAGAAATAGAAAGGTTATTCTTGGATTTCCTCTCAGCCATCTAGTAAACAGTCTCTGGCAAGGCAGCAGAGAAAGAAAACTATACAGAGGAGAGGCGAAGGAGTGTAAATTAACATTTTATTCACATTCAATTATCGATAATAGAGCGTCTTAAAATGTTGGCGATTGGTTTATAATTGCGGCTTCTCTGGGAGGTTCCTACGGTATCGGCTTCCCTGGAAATGTCAAATCCTCCCTGGATATCCATCCGTGTAACCTCAAAGGCAAGATTCCACGCCTGGATTTGCTAAGCTTTTTGAAGATGAAAGGCCTGGGAAAAGGCTAAAAAGAAATTGCAGTCAGCAATACAGGGACACAAAGGCAAGGGATGCTGCAGGAAGTGGCRTGTGTCTCCAAGGCTTGTGCTGTAAGGGAACAGATTTCTCCTCTGGAAGGAAAGCAGGGGCTAATGGCCTTGACAGACTGACAAGCTCTGCTGGACCTTGGGACATCATATCCCTGTGCTTATCCCTCCGTGGGGATTTTTGGTTTTCCCCACAAGGAAGGGAAAACCTGCARCAGAGGTTGCAGAAGGAAATATTTTGCCTGCCTGTCAGTTGGCCAGGTTCATTTGAGGCGATGGGTTCATTCTGGTCCAGCTGAGATGYGCATATTTCTCTTGTCTTCCTCTCTTCTTCCCTTTCTGTCAAAGCTTTTCATTTGTGAGAAAAAAAAAAAAAAAACAACCCAAATGTATCTCTGTGGTGTAAAATTTTAAAGCAAAGCTTTTCTCTCCCCCTTACAAGGAAGAGCTGTGTTGGTTCGAAACAAAATCAAAAAAGGCAACGTGAACAGTTCTGTGTACGGTATTAGCCAAAAAAAAAAAAAAGGGCTCTAAAATAACGATCTCTGAAAATCCATTCCAGAGTGTAACTGTTTTGTGTAGGTTTGTAAGCTGATGATTAGGATCAGTTATTTAGAATTCTTGTAAAACGTGGAAATTGCTGGACATTATCATATCGACCCATGTTATTTGTACTGAACTGACATCCARAATCCACTTAGGAGCGGAATATGGTGGGATTTGGTGTCAAATGCAAATRTGTAACAAAAAAGGCAATTCCTATCTCACAGAACACACGGTCTTGCTTTTATTCGCAGCCTCTGATAATGTCGGGTGGTGCCGGTGGATGAATCGAGAGCAATCCAATAAAATCATGATAAAAGCCACTCTGTGCATGAGAGCTCTGGGTTGAAAGATGCTGGTGGTTGAAAAAAAAAGAGAAAAAAGAGAAAGGTTCATTGACCGTAAAGCCCAAGTCCACATTTCCCCCATATAATGCAAAGAGATTCTTGATTATAAACCTCCCCCTCCCCCAAAYGCCTGAAGCCACTCTTTTTTCCATCCTGAGTCACTTTTAAAATCTATTTGCTCTCCCTTCTCCTCRGGAACCACTGGAGTTTCTGCCCATCATTTTCTTCTCGAGTCCATTGATTCACAGTTTTCAACTCACAGATGGGGGGGAAAACTGGCCGAGTTAAACAGAGCGGCACCAATTTGCACCAGTGAAAGATTTGGCCTTGCTGAGTTAAAACAAAGACGAGCTTGTCAGCTTTCCAGTCCATCTCCCTGGCACTCCGGGATTGTTCTTCATAATGCATTTGCCAGTTCTTTCCCCAGTTTAATTTTAAATGGCTTAAGCTGCCTGCGTTTCCCTTGTGAGATTTCCCCACCGAGTAGTAGAGCTCACCATTATGAAATTC